ATACATAATACACCATGGGTCTATATTTGTAAAAGTTGGTATACATAATGCACAATGGGGGCTATATATATAAATAAGAAATATATTTGCATGACACACTTCGATTTATAAAATTTATGTAAAATATAATAATGTTTCATTAGACAAACCTTAGGTAAAGACAGTAGAAATGTGGAAGCCTTGAAACTTACGAAGTAATGAAGGAAGCAGGGTTGAAATAGAAATAAGTACACGAAAGGGAGGGAGAATAGCTTTAATCAAAACTCTTAAAAGGCTACGAGTCCATTGCCTAATCTGACCTACACTGTTTTAATCTCTTGTATATGAACATTTTAATTATTATATATATATTTTTTTTTTCATAGGCACCTGGTCCACGGAACTTCTTCCAGGGTTAAACTCGTTTGGTGAGAAGCTCACCTACGAAAACGGTCCATTTAAAGCATTCGGCGTAGCCACGCAAGGTTATAAAGGCGGAGAGCAGTACGAAGGAGGGCTGACGTACTCGAAAGGACCCTGGGTTGTCGGAGGCGGCGTAACCTACAATCCAAACAGTGGCGCCAACGGGGGAATAAATTTCGGTTACACAAAGGACAACCTTAAGATTGGCGGCACCTATGATTACAACCCACAAACAGGCTCAAGTTTTGGAATAGGGGGCACCTGGAGATTCAAGAAATAGTCCAAGTGTCTTGCATGGAATTGTTTGTAAACATTAACAAGAAATAATTTGCAACCATGATTAAACTGTGACTTGAAACAACGTACACTGTCTTTAAAATATGTGTGTGTGTGTGGGGGGGGGGAGAGGGGGAGGGGGGGGTGTGTTTTTTCTTAGGGTTGGGGGGGGATTTAAGTGATGGCTTTTTTAGTTTAAGTTTTCATTAGAATTTCTTTTGTGGACATAGTGACCAATATGTTTATCAATGGCATTTGACCAATCTTGGCATCTATGACTTTTGATCAACATGTCCGTCTATGACATTTGACCAATCTGTGCATCAATGACATTTGACAATATGTGTATCTATGACATATGACCAATCTGTGCATCTATGACATTTGACAATATGTGTATCTATGACATATGACCAATCTGTGCATCAATGACATTTGACAATATGTGTATCTATGACATATGACCAATCTGTGCATCTATGACATTTGACCAATCTGTGCATCAATGACATTTGGCCAATATGTTTATCTATGACATTTAATAAATATGTATATCTATGACATTTTACCAATATGTATATATATGACATATGACCTATTTGTGTATATATGACATTTGACCAATCTGTATTCTGTATATGTCTGAAGTTTAACTAATATGTATATCTATGACGTATTGACCAGACAGAGTAACTGTAACATAGTGACCAATTTGTGTATCTATGTTACATGATCAATCTGTGCATCTATAACTTCGGCTTTTTGTAATAATGTTTTCACCCGCTTCCTTACTTTCTCTCTGTTTCCTTTCTCTCACAATCTCTCTCTCTCCCTCTCGCACTCTGTTCTTTTTTTTTTCTCTACCTTTTTTCCCTCTCACCCTGTCTCTACCCTACCCTCTTCGTCTATATCTATCTTTCTCTTTAAATCTTTCCTTTTGCGTTACTTCCATATCTCTACCCTCTCTCTCTCTCTCTCTCTCTCTCTCTCTCTCTCTCTCTCTCTCTCTCTCTCTCTCTCTCTCTCTCTCTCTCTCTCCCTCTCTCTCTCTTTCTCTCTCTCTTGATAATATGAATGAAATATGAGGTTTCGTTACCAAGATATTTGTTCTTTTTTTTGGTGGGGGTGGGGGGGGGGGGAGTTCAGTAAAAAAAATACACCAAGAAACCCCTTGCGATAGTTCAAACATCCTCCTGTTACTCGAGAATATATAAACCATCATTTATTTTTTTTTAATGCATCCAGCAATACCAGGTCTGCCACTAGGGGCAAGCACCACCCCTTACCCCTTGCTCGTCTTAAGTGAATAAAACCATTGGCTTACCGCGACCTTGTACGCCTAAGACGTACATGCCAGAGAAAACTCTCCGATAGCGAGCGAGGGGCCAATTTTTTTTTTTTTTTTTTTTTTTTTTTTTTTTTTCTTTTTTTTTTATTTACGTTCAGAGATCTCTACGGTAGTGAGCCTTTCGGAATAGGTGAGAGTTGTCACTCTTTGGAACTAGGTACCGGTAACTCATAAAATATTATTTTTTTTTAAAGAACATGTAGACCAGAAACATAGATCTATTTTAATTATTTGCAACTTGTTTAATGATATAATTTGTATAATTTGTGTCCTAATTGTTGAACTAGTTTACTGTTGTATCATCAGAGCTTAACGCGTACGCATTTCCCCTAACCATAACATACCGGTAGGTGTATGCATGGCCACGGTGTACGCATTGTTTTATGAGCTATTTCAACTGGTCCACATTGATGCTAAAGCGGATACTGTGCCAATAGCGATCCTAATGCTAATGAATCGATCTGAAATTCAAGTAAATGATATTGGTTGGTTTTTTTTTTTTAATACACAAAAATGACTTAAAAGTTTACACTATGCTTCATGGATCCGATTCTTTAATGTTTTCTTTTTCGTATTAAGTTTTATATAAGGTTTTTTTTTTTCCCCTTTTCGCCGTCTGTAGATAAAAATGCGTTCGGTATTTCTCTAGTCAAAAGTACCGTGACCCTGGTTGGTGCATGCACACATTGACCCAAATAAACACATGTTTGCCGGTGAAATGTGTGAAGCAATGTGTGGTGAAGCCGTGTTTACCGGATTCGTGTGTTGAACTCTTGACTTTGTCGGGGAACGATAGATATGTCCAGGGAGTAATAACACATTCAGCAGAACAGAAAAAAACAGAGAGCTTGCTCTTTTGGGTTAGGCTAGAATGGGGGTTGGTGTTGGGTTAGAATGGGGTTAGGGTTACGTTTAAATGGGGGTCACCTAGGGTAGGAGACTGAATGGAGTTTTGGCGCCCCGCCCCAGCCGGTTAAAAGATCGAACCACCCCGATGTGCTCTAGCTGTGCCACTGATGGATTTGGTTTTGCTCTTATTTTAATTATTTTTTTTTAAAAATATTGTTATCTTAAGAGATCTATACTGTGTTTTTTTTTTTTTTTAATTAAATTTTCATGTGGCGTGAAAAAATGCTTATTTAATGCTTTTTAAAGCTGTGTATAATGCGAAATGTTGACGTGAGTTAGATCATCTACTGAATGAAACCTAAAAAAAGCTATGTTTCGCGAGACAGCCGTGCGAGTACCTTAATAACAGTTCAAAATATGGAATTAGACATCGATCATCTCATAATTCAAAAGCAAACAGGAACGTTTCAATATAATACCAGCACCATTAAGCTTATTAAATGTGCTCTTAATTTATAATATCATATCATATCGGCGTGTTTTTTTTTTCCATCTATAAAAGAGGTTTAGAAATTCGGTAATATTTTCCTTTTGAAAGTAGAATCCATTTACCGATAGTTTCTGACAGATGGTAAACCCATCTTAGTGTTTAAAAAAAATCTTGAAGTTCACTGATCTAGTTACCAGTAGATGCGAACGTTCTCTTTGTCCACAAACGTTCTTACAGTGTAAATATAACTCAAGATGGCGTGATCTCCCGTGACTGAATACCATCCTAAAGTGACCTCCCATGACATAATGTCATCATCACGTGATCTCCGGTGACAGAATATCATCATAACGTGACCTCCCGTGACATATTGTCATTATCACGTGATCTCCCGTGACAGAATACCATCATTACGTGACCTCCCATGACAAAATGCCATTATCATGTGATCTCCCGAGACAGAATTTTATCATAGAGTGATCTCCCGTGACATAATGCCATCATCACGAGATCTCCCGTGACAGAATAACATCATCACCTGATCTCCCGTGACATAATGCCATCATCACGTGATCACTTGTCACCTTTTCGTGATACGCCCCTGCACTCAGGGTTTCTTTTTTTCCCCACATAAAAATGTTGAGACCCTTAAGAATACGAAGCATACAGCATCCGAAAATGGTCCAGGTCCCACCCAACTGGTCTGACAACGATCCTGCTGTTCAGTGAAGCGTGTTATGTGATGTACATCAACATAATATATCAACGCCAACGAATTTCTTATTTAATGAGCCATTTAACGATAAATTGAACACATGACCGCAATATCAAGCTAAATTTTAAAAAAAAATAATAATTGTAATAAAATATCAAAACAATTTTTTTACGCCTTAAAAAAAAAATATCAAGTGTAAAATAACAATATTTTGTGTAACTTGTTTATGTCCCACAGTTTCACTGAATTTACTTCTTTAAAACAAAACTTTTTTTTTTAAAAATAAATAGAAATAAAAAGTCAGTATTTAATATGTCTTGTCTAGGTTAATCATGAATACTTATTACTATTATTATTATTGGTGTTTTTATATAGCGCGGTACCCCAGCCTAGAGCTGGGCTCACCACGCTGAACATAAAATTTAACAAACATAAATATGAACTTAAAAATTGGCATGCATCACTTCAAGTGTCATTGGATCTGCATCCTTATAGAGAAAGTAATGAAGATAACGCTTTGAAAACAAAATAAAATAATTTTTTATTTTTTTTTACTGTCCTGCATTCGTGCCAGAGTTCAAACTGAACTTTTGACGTGATGATTCAGTCATCCGTGGAGAATTATCCGCAAATCTCCCACTTGAGAGGTCAATGTTAAACCCTACTAGTGTCCCGCGGTGACTCCGTGCTAAAAATGGGCGCACGGCATTTGCGAAACATAAATATATCGAGATTGTAATTGACACCCATCGTGTCTCACGTAGCTGGGAGCGCAAAACAGTATGCTTCTTATATAAGCTAAACTGTATATTTCTTATATAAGGTAAACTGTATGCTTCTTATATATGCCAAACTGTATACCTTCTTATATAAGCTAAACTGTATACTTCTTATATAAGCTCAACTGTATACTTCTTATATAAGCTCAACTGTATTCTTTTTAGGTAACCTAATATGTATACTTCTTATATAAGCAAAACTGTATGCTTCTTATGTAAGTTAGAGCCCACAACCTAAATTCTGGAATAATTGAATATTATAAACGCATTATTCTTTTTTCCCCCTTGGAATAATCACATTGATTCTATTATTCTAATTGATCATCGTCGCTGTTCAACATTATTATCCAACATGCTCATGACAAATAAATGTATTGCTTTGGATAACTGTGCGATTCTGGGATAACCTGTTCTATTAGATAAACCCCATGTTTGCTAAACGATTATCATTCTTGGATAAACTTTTCTATTCGGTTATCCCCCCCCCCCAGTTTGATGAACAACTATCATTCTTGGATAACATTTAAACCATTCGTTACCCAGCTTTTTTTGAAAATATTTTCTAATTGGTTTACCCCCCCCCCCCCAGTTTGATGAACAACTATCATTCTTGGATAACATTTAAACCATTTGTTACCCAGCGCTATGTATTCTTTTTATTGCTTTTTATGTAAACTTTCATGTCGGTCACTCTAAATAACACGTACTATATGTATCACTTAGTTTACATGGTGTCCCCTTTTCACGCTTTTTTATTTTTCTGTTTTCGGTTACATCCCTCTAGGAGCAATTAAGGCGATAGTTCGCAAGGCCTCATTTTCCTGTCAGGGCGCAGCAGTCAGGGCGTGCATATCCAGAGGAAATAACCAAAATAAATATGCTTTTTTGGCAATTACTTTTAATCAGAGTTGATTAAAACAGTGTTGGAGATTCAAAGGCTTAAATGTTATTGTTGGTTTTATTTTAAATATACATTTATATAATCTACCATATACTAATGTGCCTCTGTGTAAAGGAAAGTGTGAGACAGCCCTGATCGCCCGTTTACATCGATTTTTGTGCCAGATGTATACGGCCTTTATGTTGCCCACCCTGTATGCTCGAGAGTTGGGCGGGACGAGTGAGGTCAGTGCGTCATGCTTTGTGTTTATGAGTTTAGAAGATACGCGATCACGTGATCTGGGCTCATGACATTGAGTTTGTAATACTTGCATCATTGACATTTTTACTGAAACATGTTGCTATTATTTATTAATAATAACAATTTTTTAATAAATAGAAATGTAAACTAAAATTTTTCAGCCAAAAACCCCCCCCCCCCCCCCCCCCGAAGTCAAAGTAGGGTGGCTTTTGCCTTCGCCACTTATGTAATATGGCCAGGCTTTCTTTCAGCTATATCACCGGGGGACACTGCCCCCCCCCCCGGGAAGCCATGGGCCCNAAAAACCCCGGAAACCCCCCCCCCCCCCCCGGAAACCCTGGAAAGCCCCCCCCCCCCCCCGGGGGGGGGGGGGAATTTCTGAAATAATCACTGCCTAGGGGCGTTTATCGGACGAGGGCTTTTTTCAGGGTGGGAGGCTGGCATCCGTTTAAAAGTGACACAAACATCACTAGAACTAATGCAACGTTGAGTCCTTATCAACGTATCCACTTAAGCAACTGTGTGGAACTAACAATCAACCCACACAAAAAAAAACTTTAATAGGTTCATAATCAACTGCTTATTTAAATGATCAAATTTTGCTTGAAATAATCTCTTTATCGGCGTCGGCGTAAAAAGCACGACGGACGATATGGACTACAGGCCACAGCAGAGCCGTTTTTTATGAGTTTTGGGGGCCCTAGGCAATGAGCGTAGGTAGTGGGCCCCGGAAAGGAGGGGGAGAGGGCCAGGGTCTCCATCAGAGCTGAGGAGAAAACAGAATTCTGAAGTTCCCAAATAGACCTCAGGCGAGAGGTTTATAATCTCAGCAGCTCTTTTTCTCGACACTGTCTTCATCGACACATTTTCCTCCTACATGTCTTCTCTTGACAACACTTCGTTGACATGTAACATTTCCGAGACCATCTCTTTGCCGATATCAGTTTCCCGGCTTTATCTTCCCGACATCGGAAATAATTGTTTCCTCTTTGCGCGCGTGCAACAACTCTCCAAGTTGAAATTTCAGCCACTAGAGAAAATGTGAACTTCTGAAATGATTATTATTATTATTATTAAGGAGGTTTTATTTAGCGCTGTATCCCAGCCTACTGTTAGGCTCACTTCACTTCACATAAAAAATTATCAATTACGGAAAAGTATACATTTTTAAAAAAATTACTGGATAAACAAAGCTAGGGCTGACTCACCTAAGTAATATCTAACTTGTCTGGCCTTGGACAGCACCGTCGAATACTTAGCGTTGTTTATCAGTTAGAGTGCGGTGAGAATGGTTCGGTATAGAACAGTTTGAAGAGATGGGTGTTGAGGCCAGTTTTGAAGGCCGCTACGGTCGATATATTGCAAATGTGTAATGGGAGTTAATTCCATTGTTTTAGGGCCCCGGAAAGAGAAATATCGTTCACCATACGTTTTAGTGCGTGTTCTTGGAACAGAAATAATACGCGGGTCTGCGGAGGAACGAAGCTTTCGAATGGGTATATAAACAGAAAGAAGTTCAGTAAGATAGGAAGCGCGTGGTGTGTGAATATATGGACTTGCAAGTTGTAGCCTTCAAAAAAAAGGCGCCCGACGGGGACCCACTGGCAGAGGGGCCTAGGCGGTTGCCTAGTTTGCCTATGCCTAAGAAGGGCTCTAGCCATAGATCCATAACAGTGCATGACTGCCTGAATGGTTCCCTGCACATAGGGTTCTGCTTATTTTAATTCTAAACGAAAAGCGTCTGATGGGGTTATGTGTTATAGTATAGTATACTCAAATCTCTCACAATAACACAGTATTTCTATTTAGTGGCATTTTGCCACATATATAAATAACATTTAGCTAAAAGAAATTGTGTTTTATAAGTAAATATATCTATGTTTAAAGGAGGCTAAATAAATTACATATCTTACTTTTGTCACTTTGTACCACAGGGTACAATTCCCCCAGTGATGGGGAACGCATGACTTCCCCTTTTGTTATTTCCCTTTGATTTTTTTCAATAGTTTTCCGTTTTAAATAAGTTTTCCTCTTGGGATTCACTGAGTCGTCACGTGGCCCGGCAATCCCTGTTGCTGGTACCACGGTTATTTCAGGAGCCCACAATTAGTTTTACTTTTTTATATTTTAAAAGTTTTTTTTTTTTTTAATTTTTGGTTGAGGGGCTCTGACTTAAACGATCAACTTTGAATGCAGGGGCAGACAACGGAATGTGACTTTGGGGGCCTCTAGAAGTCACGCGGATGTTCTTGTGATACCTTATTTTAAGGCCTTTCATGTTTTAGTCCAGATGGGAAAAAAATAGCCCTCCAGGAAATAGGACTAAATGATAATAGTGCCCCCCCCCCCTATTTTTAACATAAGATAATAGGATGGCTTGTCTTACAAGTAAGAAGGGGATGGGTGAGAGGTCAAGGTATTTTTAATGGGTTTCTGTTCGTTTTGACTAGCTATGCATCCAACAACCGAATAAGTTTGTGCGATGATATTTTAAATTAATTGGTATCCCAGGTTTGAGCTGTTTCGGGATACTTTAAATCCAGCTTAAAAAACGAAGAAAATCTGAGATACAGACACTGTTTTTCGCTGGTTATTAGCAGCGGCGTAGCTACGGTTAGCGCCGCCCTCGATGAGCCAATAATGTTAAATGTGTACTGGCCAGTGTGCCCAGCAAAGCCTCGGCCCCCGTCGAAATCGATAAATTCTTGGCACTGACCTGAGATGGAGAAGGCTCGAGTGCATGCTGTGTGAGTTCACATGACTTCACGTCATCTAGCGGGGCACGGTTGCACCCGTACGTGCACACTTTGAATAACTGGGCTGTTCAATGGTTCCACGTGTTTGTAACCGATTGCTAGTGAAAGAGTATCATTCTTGGAGAACCTGTTCTATTGAGCTATTCCACTCGCGACCTTTTTTACTGAAAAGATAATTGCTAAACCGGAACGTGTAAGTAAGTGTCATGTCTCTTAATCTTGTACGCGGAAACCAATCGTGCCTACTCATCAAACAAAGTCATCTTTTTATAGACTACTTAAAACATATTATTTATAATTATGTGAAGTTTACACAGTCATTCTTCAAATGTGTATGTCACTATGGAGTGAAATAGCTAATGAACATTATCATTGTACAGAGCAACAGTACGGGTATATTAGTAAATACATTAGACAGTTTTAAAAAAAAACCTTTTCAAGTAGGTGCAGTTATTTAATTAGTTGATGCTTTTAAAGCTGATTTTTATATTATTTTTTTTTATCTACACATTCTTTATCCGGGACTCTTAAAAGTTTTTCCTGGAATTTAAACATCGTTCATAAGGTGATAAAACTGTTATCCTATTTCTTGGACTTATGGTACTCTGTAATCGAGATTATTTATTTTAAATTGGCATCGAATGGGTGATTTTTGTTTTTTTATTTTTTTTATTTTCTTTTTCTTTAAGTATTCAAAGAAATATCCCGACTCCTCCAATTCTTAAAAGACTCAATTCAATGTTTTATTTTGTCCTTCAAACTTTCGGTTGACACACCGGACTTAGCTAGTTGCTTTCAGGATACATCATTGTGTAAGATGGTGATTTATGCTTGTAAAGTTAAAAATCTAGTTAGCATGTCACATAGGTCTAACGTAATTATTCGTTGTTCTTGTTCTTTCATGGTAGGCGCTGAAAATCTGACCATTATAATGATACGCCCCTGACATTAACACTTTTATTTTATGTAAGCATTGCACTTGCGTTTGTGTGGCTAATGTTTCAACTTTAGGTGTGGTTTTAGAATGACATTTCCCTTGTGTTTGTGTGGCTAATGTTTCATCATGAGTTGTGATTTTAGAATGACATTTCTCTTGTGTTTGTGTGGCTAATGTTTCAAGATTAGGTGTGATTTTAGAATGACATTTCCCTTGTGTTTGTGTGGCTAATGTTTCATCATGAGTTGTGATTTTAGAATGACATTTCTCTTGTGTTTGTGTGGCTAATGTTTCATCATGAGTTGTGATTTTAGAATGACATTTCTCTTGTGTTTGTGTGGCTAATGTTTCAAGATTAGGTGTGATTTTAGAATGACATTTCCCTTGTGTTTGTGTGGCTAATGTTTCATCATGAGTTGTGATTTTAGAATGACATTTCTCTTGTGTTTGTGTGGCTAATGTTTCATCATGAGTTGTGATTTTAGAATGACATTTCTCTTGTGTTTGTGTGGCTAATGTTTCATCATGAGTTGTGATTTTAGAATGACATTTCTCTTGTGTTTGTGTGGCTAATGTTTCAAGATTAGGTGTGATTTTAGACTCAATATTTTTACTTGTGTTTGTGTAAATAATATTTCAACCGTAACATGACTTCATGAAAATTGATAAATAATTTTTTTTTCAAGTTGCATTACAAAAATAAAAAATAATAAAATATTTGATTTAAAAAATGCCGAAAAGGAAGTGTTTACGTATAGCCCAACTTAAAAGTTAACCCCTATATTAGCGTGCAGGTCAACACCCATGTTAGCGTGCAGGTAAACACCCATGTTAGCGTGCAGGTCAACACGTATGTTAGCGTACAGGTCAACACCCTTGTTAGCGTGCAGGTCAACACCCATGTTAGCGTGCAGGTCAACACCCATGTTAGCGTGCAGGTCAACACCCATGTTAGCGTGCAGGTCAACACCCATGTTAGCGTGCAGGTCAACACCCATGATAGCGTGCAGGTCAACACCCATGTTAGCGTGCAGGTCAACACCCATTTTAGCGTGCAGGTCAACACCCATGTTAGCGTGCAGGTCAACACCCATGTTAGCGTGCAGGTCAATAGGAATGGGAAGATGAATATTGGGAATCAGCAAGAGGGACTTTTTATTTCCGGTGCCAATAAGGGTGCGTTGGATTTAAGGGCGCACGTCCGAACGCTGAATGAAATGAAGAGTTCTGTCTCGAGAAAACTTCATCTAACAAATTTACCAATCTGTCCTTACCACCAGGCTTCATATTGAGGAATAGACTGCAGCAGCTGAAGGCATATTGGCCTTTCATGCAGGCAAGCTGCAGTTGTAGTTCATTAAAATTAACATTTTTTTCCTGATTCTTATAATGTATGCAAAAATTTATTTAGTGTACGGTAATGTGCACTGAACAAACACTTGATACAAGTTGATAGTTTGAGTCTATTTTAAACAATAATAATGAATTTTTTCTATGTGCAGCACTTAACATTGCTGTAGTTCTAAGAGTTGGCTATGGGATTTGCATCCGGAATTGATGAAAATTTTTGAGTGTCCTCTTTTTCATCTGAGGATCTGTAACCTAACTTATAGCTATGACCTCATTTGTGAAAAAACAAACCAACCGTAAATGATACAAAACGGTAATGTGATTTTGTACATCTTTCAAAGAAATAGATCTCGAATTTTTGTGACAGTTGACATAAGAAAGATATAAGTAAGATATTTGTGACTGCTAGATTTAATAGAAATATAAATAAGCTATTATGTGACAGCTGGCTATAATAAAGATAAAAATAAGCTTTTTTGTGAAATACCTACTAACTTACTTTATGCCTTTCTACCCCGTCTGGGGGCATAGGCCGTCTACAAGAACTTTCCACTCATCACGGTCCTGTGCTTACCTTTCCAATTGCTTCCAGGTGTATCACATATTTTGCGTGTCAGCCTCTAGCTTTCGTCTCCATGTATTCTTAGGCCTTCCCCTCTTTCTTTTTTCCTGTGGGTTTCATGTTGGTCATTGTCTGGTGGTGCTCTCTGGGTGTTTTCGGAGCGTAGGAACCATCCATCTCCACCTTTTCTTTATATCTTCATCAATGGGCACCTGGTTTGTCCTTTCTATTAGATCTTTGTTATTGATAGCATTTGGCCATTTGATTTTCAGGATCTTTCTAAGGCATGTGTTTATGAATGTCTGCACTTTCTGTATAAGGCTCACTGTTGTTTTCCAAGTTTCTGCAACATATAGTAGAACTGTTTTGACATTTGTATTAAAGATTCTGACTTTGGTTTGCAGTTTCAGTTCCTTCGACTCCCATATTTTCTTTAATAGCACAAATGCCGATCTAGCTTTTCCAATTCTGGCCCTTATCTGCATCGGATCCGCCATTTGTGTCTATGGTTTCTGCCTAATTATGTGAATGACTCCACTTCTTCCAGTGCCTTTCCTGCCAGATAGATGTGCCGATGGTTCGATGGGTTTACCTTCATGATTTTTGTCTTGCTCTTATTTACATTGAGACCAAGCTGTGCTGAAAAGGTGGCTACGTCTTTTGTCTTTTCCTGCATTTGTTGCTGGTTGTGGGACAGAAGTGCAATGTCATCTGCAAAGTCTAAATCATTCAGTTGTTCCCAGAGTGTCCACTATATCCCATTCCTCTTTTTGTATGTGGATTGTTTCATTATCCAGTCAATGGCAAGGATGAATAGCAATGGGGACAAGGGGCATCCTTGTCAGACTCCTGTTTCGACTGTAAAGGAATCTGCCTTCGTGAACCACCCTGCATGTCATTTCTTCAAAAGAGCTCTGAATGATCCTGACTAGTTTCCCTGGTACTCTATAGTGCCGAAGAAGTTTCCACAAGGATTGTCGGTCCAGGCTAGCAAAGGCCTTTTCGTAGTCTATAAAATTTATATATAGGGGGGAGTTCCAATCGATGGACTGTTCTACAATGATTCTTATTGTTGTGATTTGAGCTGTGCATGATCTGTTGTGGCGGAAGCCGGCCTGTTGATCTCGTAGATGCATGTCGAACTGGTCTTTTATTCTGTTCAAAATAATTCTGTTAAAGACTTTTCCTGGTACAGACAGCAGTGTGATTCCTCTGTAATTTGCACAGTTGCTGAGATCCCCTTTCTTTGGGATCTTGATGAGGTATCCTTCTTTCCAATCTTTTGGAACTCTCTCTTCTTCCCATATCTTTTCAAACAGAGGGTGCAGCATGTTGACTATTGTATGTATGTCAGCTCTCATCATCTCTGCTGTGATGTTGTCCGTTCCCGGTGATTTCCCTAATTTAAGCTGCTTGATGGCCAAAGCTATTTCTTCCTTATTGTGTACGTCTTCATTTGCTGGTTGTTGTCTGGTGTGTCTGTGGGTGGGGGTATGTTTAATAGTTCCTTCAAGTATTCCATCCATCTTTTTTCTTGCTCTTTTCTTTCTGTTATAGATCTACCTTCTCTATCTTTGACAGGTCTTTCCAGCCCTTTGTATCTCCCTGACAGTTTTCTTGTTACGTCTTAGAGCTCTTTCAAGTTACCCTTCCTGGCTGCTTCTTCTGCTGTCGATGCTAGGCCATCTATGTAGCCAATTTTATCTTTTGTAATGTTGTCTTTACCTTTTGGTTTGCTTCTTTATATCTCTCTTGCGCGTTCGTTTTTTCCGCCCTGATGCGGCTGCTGTTAACAATATTTTTCATTTCTTTTCTCTCTTTTATTTTTTGCAGTGTGCTTATTGAGAGCCAGTCTTTTTGGTTCTGCTTCACTGATCCTAAAACTTCTTTGCATGTGGATGTTACAGACGTTTTTATACTTTGCCATAAATGTTCTACTTGGTCATCTTCTGTTTGGTCATCTGTTTGATCTTCTAGCGCTTGGACCTTATTTCTCAAAGTAGCACTGAATACTTCCATTTTCTGCTCATTTGCCAAAAGTGCTACATTCAATTTGGTTCGCTTGGCAGTTGGCTGTTCCCAGTTTTTCCTTAGCTTTGGCTTAAGTCTCGCCCAAACAAGATGATGATTGGATGCGACATCTGCTCCTCTTTTTGCTCGAACACCTTGTAGCGACTTTCTAAACTTTTTGCTGATACATACGTGATCTATTTGGTTTTGTGTTTTGTTGTCTGGGGATAGCCATGTTATCTTGTGGATTTTTTAATGTTGGAATTCGCTTCCCCCAATAACAAGCTCATTTGTTGCGCAGAAGTCCGCCAGTCTTTCCCGTTCTCATCACTCTCTCCTACCCCGTGTCGTCCCATGATTTCCTCATACCCACTTTCGTCTTTTCCAATCTTGGCGTTAAGGTCTCCCATTATGATGTTCAGGTCTCTAGTTGGGAATTTTTCTATTATTGCTTGTAGTCTATTGTAGAATGTTTCTTTCTCTTCTACATAGTTTTGCACACTCTAACCGAACCCTCTTATTGCTGTACGCATCCTTAAACAAAAATATTCAAAATGATTACTCCCCACCTCTATTTATTTATTCAGGCATTTTTATATAGCGCTTACCTTAAAGCTCTAAGCGCTTTACAATTATTAAAAACATGTAAACTATCCCCCCGGCCGGCCCCACCCCCATCCCTACCCCCAAGTACGTGTACAATATACACATTGCCGCTTAGAGATTGCTGCTCACTCACACTGCAAGCAGTTTTTATACTATGATGAACACGTCTTGTTTCTTCATTATTTTTAAGGTTTTTTTGTGTTTGGTTTGCTTCATAAAATGTATTCAATATCATTATGTATGGATCTATGCCTTAGCAATACAAAGTGACAAATGTCACTAATTTTCGTTTTTCTTTCGCCTGGTCATATGAGACAAAAACAAACGTGCAAGTTAATATAGTGGTAGCTGCATACGACTACTGAATGATTTATAGCGTAATTTTAAGGTCAGTTGTGCGTGTTTGTGTATATATATATATATATATATATATATATATATATATATATATATATAGAGAGAGAGAGAGAGAGAGAGAGAGAGAGAGAGAGAGATGGATGGATGGATGGATGGATGGATGGATGGATGGATGGATGGATGGATGGATGGATAGATGGATGGATAGATATGTACAGCTAGTGCTCGACTTACGACCACGTTGAAAACGCATTTGTTAACAGTAATGTGAAGTGATATTATAAAAATATTTAAGTTAAATTATTTAATAAATTTCATGTATTATTGTTATAAATCATAATTTTCGATGTCTACGACCGCCGATGATTGCAGACAACGCCGTTTGACTGATGATTGAGGCAGAAATAAATCTGAAATCTTATACAGTATCGTTAGTTATTTTGGTCGTAAAGTCAAATGGTCTGCATAGGTCGTAAGTCGAGTGCTAGCATGTTTTTCAAAATATAATAGTGCATTAAAATCACGAGCGTGTTGCACGGGCCCCGCCTATCATTGTACCGACTCATAATCTAATTCACATCATTATACCAGGTATTCAGTTATAAGCAGTTCCCGTGCTGTGCGATTAAATGCCGTCGGTAGGACCCGACCAGTGACTTGCCGGCTGTACTGACTCAACATCTGGCGTGTTAGTCAAGATGCGCTACGCCATTCCACAGCAGACGTTTATCCTGGTTAACATGGCCTTCCTCTTTTACAGTCTAGGTTGTAGGTTGGTCCACTCTTTATCTCCATTGATCAGAACCGCTGCCGGCTGATGTGTAGTGTGTGTAGTGTGTAGGCTTGCATCCGGGTCAGCATATCATCAACGTTGATATTAATGTCTTAAAGAAACGGTCAGTGTTTAATTTTGTATTTTTATTTTAATTCCCAAAACAGTTCCTTCCTTTCTTTAACTTTATATTAAATTAATGTTATGTCATTTATGTACAGTTATTTTTTTTTTTTAAATAGACTTACTTAAATTTCTCTAACATAAAAATTTAGAAAGAAGTTTAAAATAATAAATACATAAATAATAATAATAATGAAAAACAAGTAACACAACTGGAATACGAAATGACTTTGGCATTCCTGTTTGAAATTATGACATCACCAGGCATTCTGACTTACTTGGACGCGTGTGTTCTACCTAACATTCAGTCTTCAGTCTCAAGTGTAAAACTTAACATAAAATAGTATTAACTACATTACAATTATGTGCTTATTTTGACATCCATCGGTTTTTTGTTGTTTTTTTAATGCTTTGTTGAAATCTGGCGGGATTTAAAAATAGGCAGAATTCAGGAAGAAACCTTAAAACAAAAAAAAAAAAAAAAAATCTTTAGGTAAAGCAGACAGTAGACACAGTTGGTGCTCCACATCTTCCTCTCGTTTCATTTTTTTGTTGTTTTTTTAATGCTTTGTTGAAATCTGGGGGGATTTAAAAATAGGCAAAATTCAGGAAAAAACCTTAAAACAAAAAAAAAAAAAAAAAATCTTTAGGTAAAGCAGACAGTAGACACAGTTGGTGCTCCACATCTTCCTCTCGTTTCACTTTCTGAAGCGTTCAGTTACCAAAATAATATTGGGTCTGTCATTTGCGACAGTTTTAGTTCATTACCATCTGCTTTTCTACAACGTACAATCCCAACCTCACGATTATAGAAAAAGAAAGTAATCGAAAAAGTCATAGATTAATAAATGAAAACTTCACAGAACTTTAGTCAAGGGAAAAAAATTCTTATTAGACAAAAATTCATAAGAAAAAGTCATTTGAAAAAGTGACATAAAATCATAGGAAAAAAAAAGAAGAAGAAAAAAGTAATGGTGGCGTAAGGTGACAGGCATCATTTCCTCAAAATAGAAGCTAGTTGCATTCTTCTCCTGCTCTTAATCATCTCCCTTCACAAAACTTAAAGTCCTCTTACCCCCCCCCCCCCTTTTTCCGTGTATCAAATGCATCAACGATGGGCCCTAAACAAATGACAAAACACTCTATATCATTGGTCAGTCAATTTTGGTAATATTGTGCTTAAGTAAGATTTCACATTCAATCAGCCTGCCAACATCATATATTTTACTTCCTGACGCGATTTTGTCATTCTAATTAATACTCTTGACTTCCACTTTGGTCTAATTTGTACCATTGTAAACGCTTCGCACTCATTGTTCTGCACGAGTGATTCAAGTTTTTCATTCAGACCTCACTGGGGGGAGGGGGGGGTGCTTAATTGGAAAGAGTCAAGTGCTCCAACACCCTGGCGAAAAATGAGTACAACAATACAGGGGTGTACCGTGCTATAAAAGAATTACTTGATTGTCCATTTTGTTCCATTTTATTTTTGAATTTTTATTCAATTGATAAAATTAGAGAGATTGTGGAACACATGTAATATTGCTATGATCAACTGATTTTATTCCCTCGATATATTTATGGCAAATCTAGATACTTGTACAGCTTTCGTTTCTAAATACCATATTATGGTTCAAAAATGTGCCACTCACTATTTTAAGCGGCATATCATCATGCAATAAAAAATATACTGATTGGTATAATTTGCCATTCTTAAACAATTTATAAAAGTTGTCATTGAGAGGTTATCTACTTTGTTGTGTGTTTGTGTCTTGTGGTGATCCTGGTCGCCCAGTAGCGTAAAGAGAGTAAATGCAACCCTGGGTGGGCCAAAGTTTTGTTCGTCCCCCCACCCCCCCCATTTGGATTAAAAACTCTTCAGTAGACCAAAAATACTGCGCCTCCATAAAATGAAGAAAAAAAAGCGCCCCTTGGCGGTACGCACTTTCCTGCGCCTCTGGCACTGTCCAACCGAAAAGGTTCAATCCCCTCTTCCAAACCGAGCAAAATGTCTGACAGCAACACTGCACAGACTTAATTTGAAGACCTCACCTCTGTCTCACAGTTCAGCCCCTAATTTACAACACGAACTAAGCCCCGACCATCACAACCACCCAACGTCCCACTTACGCTTGGATACCCGGAAGACTTGACCTACTTAGCGGCAACATATATGATGCGCTTTAATTTTTTGTTAGTTATTTAATAATACTTGGTGCGTGTACTCTTCGAAGTGTTTAGGAAAGTATATTCTATTAACGTGTGTAAGAAAAGCCGTCTATAAATTTATCATATTGAATACGAATACACACGCCAGTATACACATTATAATATTAAAACGTTTCCATTCGCAAATCCGGAAAATTTGTGCGAGGAAATTGCACAGCCAAGAAAAATAATTGCGTCAACCTATAAAAAAAAAACTATTTAAAATGCCGGTAGATTGACGTATCAATGTTTTAAAGGTAACGTCATCTCCAAGGCAGTGCTGTGAAAATGTGAACACTCATTTGTTGTGAAGTTTCAAAAGCGTGCACAAGACTGATTTTTAAGTTAAAGCTATTGTGTCAATTGGATTTCAGTAATTCTTTGATAAATTCTCGATTGAATCATTCTTGTATGAACTTCAAATGTTTCGAAATTTTTTGTTTAATGATTTACTTTTTTTTCGTCTGTTAAGATACGTTAAACTGTTTTCTCAATAAAAACGTGCCGACAATTTATGATGAAAATAGCCTGAAATATTTTTCATGCAACGAATCTTAACTCGCATTAACATTTAAGGATCGATATTTTGGGGAATGATATAGGCCTACCTATGATTTTTAACATTTATTATTTAAGTCATATTTTTATGACGTTATAATATGTTTTATTTTGTGTTTGATTTATTTAACTGTCTTATTTGTTTAATTTTATCTTTCTTTCTTTCTTTATTTTTTTTAATTTAGGATTTTAACTAGCGTTAGAAACTAGGACTACTCTTCCAACCAAGTGCAATGGATCTCAAGCTGAACCTCTTTGTATCCGCGCTCATCGCATTGGCTTCAATACCAGCAGATTGCGACGCCGCGTCAACGACCCAGCCACCACCAGCGAGAGGGACCGACGCCTTCGTGGAGTACGCCTCGACACTTGACGTCCAGCCACCGAGCTACTGGACGCAACAAAGCCCAACCAACTGGAGCATCGTCGACGTGGACCAGGCCACGAAGGACGCCATCTCGGCGTTGGTGGACCAGACGTGGGACCAGGGTCTGATCGGGAAGGGAGACGACGGGCGAAACTTGAATCAGACGAGGATCAAGGTCACAAACGTCAAGCGGATCGAAAATCCGAAGCTGTTCAACAAGTACGGCGCCCGCCGTCAGGAGATTCTGAACGCCCTTAAAAAATTGGCGCCCAGGGTTGCGAGTTTGAACGGGTCGCGCGGGGACGTGTCGACCAGTCAGAATCTTCCGAAATCCATCACCGATCAGGTGTACACGGAGGTCAACGAGCACTACTTCTTCCACGGCACCAAGGTCAGGTACGTCAACCTGATCGCGGAGAACGGGTTCAACATGAGCGTGGCTGGCCTGGGGCAGTTCGGGCGAGGAATTTACGGGGCGGAGAGGTCAACCAAATCTGACCAGTACACAGGTGGGCATCGGGTGGCTTCTCATATTAGACGATTTTTTTTTAAACCTAACAGCGCGTCACTGAATTTTTGTAATACATAACTTCTGCCCCATGCACTAATATCGACTGCTGTAGACAATGAAAGCGCTTGAAGAAGTTAATTTGAATTGCTTTGCTGTAAATTTTTGCATGATCTTCCAGTATTGTTGCTGAGACATTCAGTGTCTTAAAGTCAAAGCAGCTAATACTACTTTCACTAGTGAAACTTTAAGGAATCGTAACAAGATTAGTTTTCCCAACAAGGCAAAAAGAGGAGGGGGGGGGGGGGTGTTAAATGAAAAAAAAAAAAAATAATAATACTGACAATGAAAAATAGTTATCAAAATTCACTCCCAGAAGAAAAAAAAATATCTTTTATAATTCGTTACACACATAATGATTATATTATTTTGACATTTCAAGCTGGTCACAATGAATAATGTTAAACTAAAACGAATATTAGTCTTACTGTACAATCATTTTTTTAAATCCAAAGCGATAGGCACTCCATGCACTTTCTGAACATAACGTGAACAGAGACAGACTAATATTTTCAACATCTTCAAAGTCAGATTTTAAAATTTAAGTGATTTACATTTTTCGTCAGACAAGCAAAAGTCTGTCCATTCGTGCAACAGTTGAGATTCCCTGATTTTGATACTCCAGGAAAAAAAGTATTTTTACATCCATGTAGTTATCTCCCACCGACAAAATGATTTGTTCACCTATCCTTGATTGAGTCCTTTGCATTGTATAAAGAATATGGAAGATTAAAAATAAAACTCGTTGTCAGAATTATATACTTTTTCTTTATCACTATCCTCCACTGAACATTTTGAATGGAAAAACAATATTTGCAATGCAATTTCTGTAACATATGCATTTGTAATTTTTTAAATTTTTTTTTATGTTTTTTTTCTTTTTTCTCTAATTTCCCCAAGACGCCACCGGACCTTTTCAAAACATGCTTCTTGTAAGGATGACACTTGGCAATGTCTACCTGTGTAGGACCAACGAAACCAGGTTGCGTAAGTGTCTTTTAGTACCTTTTATTCACATGGTTAACATATTAAGGGTTTGATTAAATTTATATTTTTAAAAAAAAAATTGGTATGTGTCATCACATGCCCCCGTACAAGCCTCATATTTACGACACGGACAATACCGGCACAGATACTACCGACGCAGATACTACCGACACAGACACTACCGACACAGACACTACCGACACAGACACTACCGACAGAGACACTACCGAGTCGAAAGAAGCACACGAATTAGTCATGAAATCCTATGCAAAAGAATCTGAGGTCTCCCGACTCGTATTTAAAATGTAATAAAAAAGTATATATTAGCAGCATGGCTCAACCAAAATTGCCTTTCTTATTCAAAACGGGCAATAACTCTAAAACATGTCGGTCTATTCAAATTTAGTCAAAGAACGTCATCGGTATTTTCGTGGCCCACTTAAATAGGACATTCAGAAATGGCATCAGCGGGCCGTCGAGCTTGCGCTCTTTATGCCCTCCCCAAAACACCCCTCCCCAACCCGGTATCGGGCCGCGTAGCGGCACGTTAGGGATGTCCCTTTGTCAGGACGGCCCCCACCCGGGTCTGCTCGACCAGGTGTCCACCGGGGGCCGTCCTAACCCAAAGACACCCGGTCAGTCCTACACTGTGTTTGCACACAATGCACACGATTGACTTTCTCAGGAGTCCGGATGGAAAAACTTACGTCTTAATATCTTCCCCCACCAATCCCGTGGAAGCGTTAGATGCCCTAAGAGGGATTCTAAAGTGGGTTTCCCCAACGCAAACAATTCGCGATGCAGTTGGGACGAAACGGTTGCCTTGTAGCAGCTTCTCAGGGCTGCGTAGTAAGAATCATCGGCCAGAGGTTACCACCTTCGCCTCTCGCCTCATATCCATTAACAACAACTTGTAATCATGATCCCTACCCTGTCACTGCCTATTGTTCCAGTTGGGAAATATCACAACTGGCAGCCCTGTAGGAGCTGTTTTATGTACGGCAGGTACCGAGCACATGGCACATCCCTTGTCTGCCCACGCAGGACGCGCCCAGTGGTTGTGTTTCCCGGGTAACGTCGAGGGGGTCGGTGGCCGACGCCTCCTAAACGACAAGCCACCACAGACAAGTCAATCGGAGACAACACTAATGCTCAAATTGTGCTTAATACATCAATATTAAAATATGTGGGACGTAATGTGGGCGTTTGTTTTCTCACTTAAAAAGAGCTAAAGAAACCAACATTAACAAATTAAGTCATGTGTATGTCTGTACTTTCATGCAATGGTGGTTTCCGTCGCATAGAAAATACGCTGTGTGTTCAAAAGGATGTCGTTAAAAATCTCTTCTCGGGCTGGTGGCTAGGATCAAAGTGAAGTAATTTTTTTCCCGTCGGGCTACCAAACCTGTTCCCGTGTCTCGTGATATGTAATCAGAGACCGTTTAGGGCAGACATTGAATGGATTATGACACAGTACATCTTATGGCCGAAGCTCCCCCCACCCTTTACATAAAATTGTGTACAAACAGACATAGTTTCACTTACGCCTATTTTAAATAAAAATATGTCTATATTCTTTAAATAAATAATTTGTTTAAATTTGAGGTTAATTTATGCATTTTTCTTGAAAATTTAAATCTTTTTATTAATATATATTTATATTCTCACGCACATGGTAAGGAAAATTTCATTTTCAACCAAGAGTTATAGCACACTTCATTTATTCCAATAAGTTTTTGTTTTTTTTAAAATAAATTTAAATCTCATTTTTCGACTAATTCTCATGTAAATGTATGATTGTTACGCACTGCCTTTTATATTGAGAAATTAATCTTCTATTTTAAATTTATGGCTCGTTCAAATAGTGCCTAACAAAGGACGATACCATAGAGAAATACAACAACAAAATACAACACGCAAAACAGTACCGAGTACTAATCACAATTAATAAGATTTAATTTAGTAATAATACAATTACAAAACAAAAGAAATGTAATTACAAATTATCAACTTTCAGAGTATTGGAAAATCTTGTACCGGTACACAATTATTAGAATGAGCCAATTAAAAATAATAAATGATGAATGTGAAATAAACACTTATATGCACACAAAGAATAATACAATTGTCTCGTGAAGTTAAAAATATCTATATGAATCTTCGTCCCTCTCTGTGCCTGTCAATCCCTTGTATATGTGGGTCTGCCGACCGTCTAGAAACACCTTTACTTTTCTAATACAATCGCGAACATTCGACAAAACACCCCTGAGAACAAATTAATTATTTTAGTTGCTTTCGACAATAAACACGACAGATTAAAAGACTAAGCCCCGCCCATCTATGAACGTAGCGTCTCATGAGGGGTCAACCAGGTGCACGCAAGAGGAAAGTGTTGTAAACAAGCTCTACATAACAATGATCTATAATTTCGTTTTCAGTCATCCGGAACGCCAGCCTCCCTCCCACGAAGGACGACACCGGTAACCTTGTGACTTACAACTCAGTCATGTCTGACTTCAAAGATGACGTCCTTGGGGTTTTCCGTGAGTTCATCATCTACAACGAAACTCAGTTTTACCCCGAATACGTCATAGAGTACGTCCGTATGTCATCGGCCGTGAAGGTTGGATTAGCTCCCTTCACGTTGATCATGTTGAATCTCGTAAAGTATGTGCTGGGATAGCCGCCCCCCTTTTGGGCTCATTGGTTTTTGTCTTGGTAAATCAAGCAAAGTATTTTTTTTTCTTATACAAATAGTATGCTCACCAATTTATATATATATACTTTTCTTTCCTTAATATTTTAAAATATTACGTTGATCTGACTAAAAATTTCTAGCACATATTTTAGCCTCCATTTTTAACGTAAATACAAAACAGTTATTTCTTGCATGAGTAATGTGAACAGTCTTTTTTAAAGAATTTTATTCCAGGCCCAAAATAATGCACTTTCAATGGGGGTAATAATTAATTTAATTATTAAAAGTTGTCATACATTATCTTTTAAGCTAATAAATGTTGAATACAGTTTTAAAGCTGCTATTCAATAGTTTCATATCTATCTAAATGGAAACTTTTTTTCCATGCATCATGTGTGTTCATATGAATTTGCGAAGTAATATGTATTTTTTAATGAGTAAAATAATGTAATGCTTGAAAGATAATAATATAGACAATTGTTTATGTCGCTCATTACTTAATGTAATTTTACTTTTGCCTATGTCTGTCTTTTCAGAATATTGCCTTATATTACATTGATAATAAATATATTTCACATTTTTTATATCTTATACCCTTTCAATGTTGTTATTTTTTAATGATATTTTTTTTTAAATATTCATTTTAAAAGCATTATCTCAATTTGACCTTACAGTAATTTCTCATCTAAAAAAAAAACCGTACTTCCAGCTTGCTTTATATGATTATATGTTGTCTTTTTAAGTTGATTAAATGAAAAGAAATAAAGCTCAAATGTGTTACATACAAACGATTAGTTGAATGTTTCTGGTTTTGTTTCCATTAACACTCATTGTTTGTTACTTTAAAAAAAAAAGAAAGTCTAGCACGTTTCCGATGGATATTCTCCCTGACTTCATCAGTTTCAATATTTGTTCAACAGGCAATAATTACATCCTTAAAAAAAATGTTTTTCTTATAAATCATGTGTAAGCATTTTGCATAACTTTATTCTATATTAATATTCTTTGTTCCACCCGCTTTCAAGCTGCAGATTTATTTCATCAACTATTTAAGAAAAACAAAAGAAAATATTACACATCAAATGAATTTCTAAAAATAATCTTCTTTAGTGCAATTATCGGGAAATTTTATGTCCTCAAATAAGTGCAATTATATTCCCTTCATCCTTTGAAAAAAAGTAAAGACTGGTGTTTAGGACTTAGTGTTTTGGGGGTGGGGCAAGAAAGATTTTTGGAATGTTTTGTCATCGGCAATGAGTCTATGTGCCAAGTTTCAGTTCGATAGGTTGACATGAAGTGGGTAAATTAGGCGTCCCAAAATTTTGACATAAACACACAAAAGTGAAGGTACGTAAACATTTTTTAAAAGTAATTAACTAAATAAAATGAACCCACTTGAAATAACCATACACACAACACAATGCAAGATATTGTGATGAAACCTTTATATTAAGTGTTAAACACTAAAAAGTGTCCACACATATATTTAACCGGCATTAAAGCCGACAGCTTGCCTACAGGCACCAACGCTTCAACGATCTCAAAGAGAGACGCATGAAAATAACGTCTTTGAAATTCAAATTCTTGAAACAAAACTGTTTTTTTGAAATGTAAATTTAGTAGTTCTAATTACTGGTAAAAAGTAAATAGATTCACATATCAAACCGATTGTTTTAAAAGACTGATTATGAGAAAACTGTGTTCAGTTACCAGCAGATCTACGTCATATTTAATTAAAGCAACACTAATTAAAATAATAAATTTAATTAAAGTCAGTTCTCACGTATTGTCAGCATTTCCGATTCATTCGGACGAATACCATCATCGCCAGAACAAATTACTGTTTGAGATTATCTCCATTTTGTTTCCTCTAGCTTTCGTAACTACTTCGTCAGGTGATGTCAAGTAGGACAATTATTAGTTACTTCGTTTACTTTTGAATATAGCTCATAGTACCTTTGTTTGCGAAGCCTATTCGGAATCAGTTCCGTACGGTAGAAACTCGACTTTTGGTGCAGAAATCGTCTCCGCCAACATAGATAATGATTATTTCGACAAAATACGTGGAGTAGAATGTGAACATACTGAAATTTTTTTTTTAACGTTTTACAAATTTAGGATCTTAAAGAGACAATACGTCCAGGGACATGGGGGGCGTCTGGTACTTAATTCAACTGAATTTATATTTTTTTTTTTAGGAAACTAATAAATTCATATTTTGCGAATGAAAATCGCACGCTCCGCTTTTTCTTATGGTTGTAAAGGAACACAACTGCAACATTATTTAACATTTCTTACACGCGTTTTCGGTTATTGGTGATGTCCCTTGTTTCGTGGTACTCTTTGAGGTTAGTAGTTTACTATGTGTTCAATTTTTTTTTTTTCATCAAATCTAAATGTCAGGAACAGAGGTTCGAAAAAAAGCTTAAATTAAAGTCTAACAATGCATGTATCTACGTTATTTGTGATTTGGAGTAAGAAAATTACCACGTGGACAACTCATTTATATAGGTTAGACGGCCAATGGAATTGAGCCCGATTAAAATGTATAACAATGACATTACTTATGGATAGTGAAAGATAAGAAGCCCTGTTTGCATGCTCGAAATTCAAACATTTTATTATACCCTAATTGCGGCAGCTTATAAACTGCAAAGTATTCTCAATTCATTCGAAAATAAAAGAATAACAAGGGGGTAGGGACGACGTAAGGGAAATTTAAGGAAAGTTTGTGGGAAAGGGTGGTAAGGTTGTGGGAAATTTTAGGGATGGTGGGGGGATTTTGGTGGAAATAGGGGGCGGGGTCGGATGAAATGTGGGGTGGGGGGTTTTAAAAAACAGCTTCCTATTATATTCGTTTTTGGTCTAAAGGGAGAAATGCAATAAGAGCCAATGTGTAAAGAGCAATGTGACGGCGGCCATCCTCAAGTACGTGATGACGTCATACCTGGTTTAAGCCCGGCCATCAAACAGATCATGAACTAGATCAAGGAGCTGCAAAATCTATAGTCAATGAAGAATAGCAAGCGAAAAAGTTAGTAAAACACTGTTCTGGCATAGTGTGTGCAGCGGGAACCTACAATAATAAAAAAAAACAATAACATCTTTAGTCACACTCGTAAGTGAGTGTGAGAAGCAAGGACAATACTTTATTGTTATTATTATTATCATTATGAAGGTGGTTTGATATAGTGCAGTACACCAGCTTGGGGCTAAGCTCACTGCGATTCACGTACAAATTAGGAATTACAGAAAATTATACATTTAAAAACAAAATCGGTAAAAAGCTTTAACTCATCCACCCAAGCACCCAGCAACATCAAGCATTGTTGATCAGTTAGAGCAGCGGTTCTCAACCTGTGGGTCGTGACGCCTTTAGGGGTCGAACGACCCTTTCACAGGGGTCACCAATGACCTTCAGAAAATACTTGTCTCTGCAGTTATGAAGCAGCAACGATAACAATTTTGTGGTTAGGGGTCGCCACAACACGGGGAACTGTGTCAAAAAGTCGTGGCATTAGGAAGGTTGAGGACCCCTGAGTCCACTGAGGACCACTGAGCTTTTACTTTTTCAGGTTCTGCAATTGAACGCCTGTAAATGACAGCCCCGTTAAACACGTGTATTAACCGAAAGAACTATATTCCTGTGACTAACCATGAACTTAATATCAAGGCTGCAGTCTTTTATTACACTCTTGATCAGTATAAAGAGCTCACCACGAGACACACCTACTGCTGCTCATCAAAAAAACGAACTTCGCATCGATTTTAATGTCTAGCGTACAATTGTGAGCAACAGCGTGATGTTATTTACAATGACATTTCAATCACTGTTAGGCGTAGTAATATTCCTATCGTTCTTTGGGGTTCAACCAACTCTATTTTTGTACGTGTACAATACCATTGAGCACACACCTTTGCATTATAAAACGATCTCTTTGGCAAGTATACGTTTCAATGTTCAGTCATCTTTATTAAAATATGTATTGCAACAAACAATCGCTTTCTTGTGTGTAAGTTTCATAGCGTTCTGTCTTACCTCCTGTTTTAGGTTAACTTGAGACCAACCGCCATTTTTAGTTTGGTACTTTAATTATATTTATTGTTTAAAATGCATTTCTTTTGATTAATGTATTGATGACAAACAATCAAATCATTTAGAATACAGTAAGTATGTTTATGCTTACATTGATGCAATGACATGGTATATTTCAATACAAATTTAGTGTAATATATTACTAAACTATACTAACATACACCTTTCATCCCGTCTGGGGTACAGGACTCGTACAGGGATTCTCCATTCATCTCGGTCGTTTGCTTTCCTTTCCAGTGGCTTCCAGGTTTATCCCATACTTTGCATGTGTGCCTCTAGTTCACGTCTCCGTGCATTCTTAGGCCTTCCCCCCTTTTTTTTCCCGTATGCATTCCGCCTTAGGGATTGCCGGATGATGTTATCCCGGAGTTTGAGGAGAGTGTGCTTTAACCACATCAATTTTAATTGTCTTTAAGATATCTTCAGCAAAAGGCTCCTAATATGCCATTTTCATTATGTCTTTTTTTATGATAGTGTTTGGCCATTTGACGTGCACACATAACAAAAAAACTCTTTTTATATTTGTTAACTTGTAGGTTTATCAATTTTCTATAGTGAAGCCATGTATGTAGATGTCTTACCCTTGTGGGAGAGATGTGCTTACGGGATGATGGGCATCTGTGGTATAGTCTATTCATTATATCAGTTCTATCTGATCAGTGAAGGTAAGCAATTCGATTGTTATGCAGTGCCAATACACTGACCTGGAGCTATGAATACTTTTTATAATGGAAACGGGGATTTTCGTGTTCTATGTATTAATTAGACACGAACAATATCTGTCCATATAACAATATATAACAATATAGCTTTAATTACAATTTAATAATAATATAATAATACAAAAGTAAACTTTTTGGCACATGCCTTCATCAGCAAACAACAAAACGATAAATAAGTATACATTTAATTTACATTATATATATATATATATATATATATATATATATATATATATAACATAAAAAACATATTTGACACATATGTTTTGTATATAATAAATCTATTTTAAATCTCTATAAAAATATAAAAAAACAAAAAAAAACTTTTTGGCACACACATTCATCAAAAAACAAAAAAACAATAAATAAATATACATATAATTTACATTATATATATATATATATATATATATATATATATATATATATAACATAAAAAACATATTTGGCACAAATGTTTCGTATCTAATAAATCTATTTTAAAGCTCTATCGCCGTCCAAAAATCTTGGATGTTAAAGATACGAATGTAAATTTGTCGTATGGTAAGAAAATTAGGTCGTCGTGATTGGGAAACGGTGATATGTATGTCATTTTACAGGCTAATGAGGTCGTCGTGATTGGTGAAACGGTGATATGTATGTCATTTGACAGGCTAATGACGTCGCGTGATAGATAATGGTGATATGTATGTAATTTGACAGGCTAATGAGGTCGCGTGATAGGTAATGGTGATATGTATGTCATTTGACAGGCAAATGAGGTCGCGTGATAGATAATGGTGATATGTATGTCATTTGACAGGCTAATGAGGTCGCGTGATAGTTAAATGGTGATATGTATGTCATTTCACAGGCTAATGAGGTCGCGTGATAGATAATGGTGATATGTATATCATTTGACAGGCTAATGAGGTCGCGTGATAGATAATGGTGATATGTATGTCATTTGACAGGCAAATGAGGTCGCGTGATAGATAATGGTGATATGTATGTCATTTGACAGGCTAATGAGGTCGGCGCGATAGGCAATCGTGATCTGTAAGTCGTATGGTACACAAATGAGGTCAGCCTCACCAGTAAATGTGTTGTTTTAACATTACACTTTTAAGAATCATGCAATTTTTTACGTTTTTTCAACTCTCCAAGATAAGTTAAGTACCAGAGCATAGTTGTAAGAACAAAGGACACTTCACAGAACGCTCAATAAATATTTGACTCGAGCAATGACATAATTTTCTGTCTGAAGTCGTAAGAAGTTTATTCTTACCCCGAACAATGTCATATTTTACTGATTCGGGGCTATAAAGCGTTAATTGAATGACACGAGCAATGACATAATTTACTGTTTCTTTGGCATAAAGCATTTATGACTCAATGACTCGGGTTGTATCATAATTTTCTGTCTCGTTTATAAAGCGTTTATTCAATGACTTAAGCAATATCATAATTTACCGTCTCAGTGCCATAAAGCGTTTATTCAATGACACGAGCAATGTCACAATTTCCTCTTTGAATTTCGATAAGCTTAATTTTGTTCTTTAACACGTTGAATAAAACATATTACAAGTAAGGGTCAAAAACTATCTAACAAACTCTTTTGCTGAATCAATCAAGTTTTGTTTGGTGGATCTTTTCAAAAATCAAAACAATAATCACCTAAAGAATATGGAGGAAAAAAGAAAAATTTCATACAAGTCAAGAGAAAAAAAATATATGTAAATATATATAAGACACATTTATGTTGGCCACATTGGTACGTGGTGATGAGAGTATTTTTTTTATCAAGTCTTAAAGAAAATAGAGAATGATTTGAAGCATATCTCTTATCACCTTATGCACTTCAACCAAATTAGTACAACATCTAAGTCATCCGTGATCGGCTTGTATATTTCAAACTCTGATAGTTTATTGCATGGAATCCATTCAGTTTAAATTGTATGATACTAATGATACACATTATCAAGTAATAAGATGTTATTATTTTAGAGATGAAATCAACGCTCAAAAGGTCTTATTTGACACCTGGATGGGAGATTTTGGGACGAGACCAGGTAGCTATTTAATATTAAGTTAGTTTCACCATACAGTTTGACACCCTTTATGTATTGTTGGTAACTTAAATACATGAAGTCTTAATTAAGAAACCAACCCACTACCAGATTCAGTACTACGAGGCCAGAACAACAAAAAAAAGTGATTAAAAGCCAATGTAAACAATGTTGTGATGAACATTTTAGACAAACTATTATAACACGGAAAAACTGTAGCGTTTTATGAAATTTCTGTAAACATGTTAAAGCAGCGGTTCTCAATCTGTGAGTCGTGACCACTTTTGGGGCCAAACGACCCTCTCAGCTACCACTGGGAAAGACACATACTCTACTCTAAAGTTCTGGCGTGGCAGAGGAAATGATTTTGTGGTTGGGTGTCCACATTAGATGATGAACTGTATTAAATGGTTACGGCAATAGAAAGGTTGAGAACCACTGCGTCAAACAGATTAAAATTTCCTTTTTGTCCCCGATCATGTTCAGGATTTAACCAGCACGTTATGGAAGTTGTGGCGAAACACTTTCATCCTGACACATTCATTGTACGCCACCCACGTCTTCATTTCCTGGCTGTGCTTCAAATGTGGATGCAACATAAAAGTCAGTTGCAAAAAAAATATATGATTATAAATCGTGTAAGCTAAATAAATATGGCTTATAATTATTGCAGTTTACTCATTTTTTTTTAAAAATGACATAAAATCAAATTATTTATTTTGACATCAACATTGCTGAAATAGTTTTGAAATTAAGTTTATTTGGTTTTCATTTAAAATTCAACAATATTTTTTTAAAATTCTTTATATTTTCTTATTATTATTATTTTTATTTTTTTTATTTTTATTTATTTTGAAATGTTTATTATTTTTTGTATTGTTTTGAGAGGAAAGGAAAACTGTAGTTTTTTTTTATGTAAGCTATAAACGTATATTAGTTAAACTTGTGTAATAATACAATTATAAAATTAATTAGATAGCATCACTTAGAATGTGTGGAGGGCTCCGATTAGGCTAAGAGCAGTTGGAAGTATCAAACGAATGTTAAGGGAACAGGAGACAAAAGACCAAAAGAAAAATTTAAAAATCAACCCACAACAAAGCAACGAACGTTCCGGTAAAAAGCCTTCGTCAGACAATGAAACAAATCCCATTGCGGATGAATACTTAAATAACTTAGCAATGTTTTGATGTTTCTTATTTGTTATCTTTACATTTCAGAAAAGGAAATGTGTATTGTTGACCTTTTACCTTGTGACGTATTTCGTCCTATTTGGTCCCTTGCCTCTGGCCAAGTTGGTCACGGAAGTAGTGACCATGTATTACATTGCCTGTACCCAGAACAGGGCATACGTGTGGGCGTTCGGCTCGCTGAAGACTATCTTGAGGATCACGCGAGTTTGGAAGAAGCACGTTAATATCTTTGACAACCAGGTAATGAAAACGTCGATTTTTACCTCCAGGATGTACCATGCCGAAACATATATTTGTGTGGAAATGTGGGAATCAGAAAATATTCGAAAAAAAAATTAAAAAATTTTTTTTTTAACAAAATCAAGCAAATCAAAAACAAAATTAATAATTAAGTCCACGATTATTTTCTTTAAAGGATTAAACTTTTAATTAGAAAATGATGTTTGGATACGACAGTATTTTCCCCTTATAGGCTGCACGTGATTATAGGCTGCACGTGATTATAAGCTGGATCCATAAAGTAAATTAAATTTAGTTTGCTTACAACAATTTTTTTTTTATTTTGGTTAAAACATTACTGTGATAGGCGGCACCAAAAGTTTGAAGACTCGCACTGAAGGGGGCGGGGGGGGGGGGGGGAGGGGGGGGGGGGGGGGGAGGGCGCTGTGATCTCCTGACTCGGAGCAATACTGTTTTTATGAAGAATTTCAAACTTGGAACGTTTCAAATAGAAAACAAAAATTATTATTATTTCATCTTAACCACAAAACCGCAGACGAGGAAATTTTTTCAATTACAATCTGCAGGCCGATCCAACGTTAAAGAGATTGTATTTCACATTGGAGCCGCTGTGTGAGTTTCGCCTGCTGAGCTTCGCCTTGGACACAATTGAATGCCACAAAACAGAAGCAACAACAGTGGTCGTAAAATCTCTTTCTAAGACCAATTTACGTGGAGCGTCTTCAGAACGTGGTCCTGGTACTACGCAAACCCGGCAATGTGCACTCGATGACCACGCATCGGTACAACAGAAGCTTCAAAATCCTGATTTGTTAGATTGCCTTTTTTATTCATTTTATCTACCACATTTCTTTACGGGGCCGTATTATCGCTTCAGAGATTTCAACGAGCAAACCGGCAATTTTTTTAATTCAAAAGCTTATGATGTGCCGATTTTTGACATACTTAAGAAAGTAGCCCGTACTCTATGCTGGGCCGTAATCCTAGAGTTTCAATCTCACTTCTTGTATTACCTAGCACTGAACCACAGGAACGGAGCGATTCGAAGATTCCCGTTCGCGGCACATTACGGCCTCTGGTACTGCAGGGCTCAATTTCTTGTCGTCTACCACCATCTCATCTGGTCCATACCATCCCAAGTCTCGCGGTTCGACGGGGTCCAGCCGTACGACGACCCGTGCTGTATGAGCGGCTTGTACAATATGACGGACCATTTGCGCAAGTTTGACCCGGGGCTGCACGCCTTCATGAAGTCGTATGTGTACATTCCCCTTGCTGCTACCAGGCGTTTGTCGTCCAGGATAGCTAGAACCGTGGTCACCTATTTGGTGATTACGTTATGGCATGGGACCGCCCTGAGGTATTTCAAGTGGATGGTGGGAACTTTTCTCGGTCTATTGATGGATTACCTGGGCAAGTTGCTGGAAACGTGCTCCATCGGAGTTTACCTGGCAAGTATGGTTCCCTTAATCATATTTTTTAATTAATCAAATGATAATAAACTAATATTTTCTAAAGCTTTCACTTTTATTCAAATAATAATGAAGTTTTCAAGCTATTATGCAGGTAAGTTTTTAATATATATTATTAACATATTGAATACTGTGTTTTTTATTTAGCTATGTATAAATTCCTTTGTAATGTTATGTTTAAAAAGTTATTGCATAATAAAATTAACTAAACAATTTAAGTGTCGATTATTCCTGCTGGTAAAAAGCTATAAGAATATTCTATGTCCAATACTCAGTCCTTAAACCCAAACTGTTACAGTACTCGTCTAATTTATAAATTTAGTAAAATTTGTATTCTATTTGTATTATTTTTTTTTTCGTAATGATTTATCAAAATGTATAGATTGTTATTTTTTTATATTGATTTTTTTCTTCTTTTTCTTTTTAAATTTTCAAATGATTTACATTAGAAAAAAAAATATTTTTAATTTTGGAGAAAAAAAAACACTAATGAATGAAATCGCTCGTTTAAAGATGATGGACACAATTAAAAACTAGTAAAAAAGTAAAGAAACAATGACATTAAAAAAAAAACATTACATGTATACTTGTGTTTCAGAAATCTCGTATGAATGGTGCTATGGAACTTAGAGTGCGGGTCTTCCTTCACACGGGACCCTTCTTGGTGCAATTTTTCAATGCTGGATTTTTGTACTTTTTTGAGCAAAACGTTACGGAGAGCGTATCGCAACTCTTCTTTTACGGTAACGTGCTGTGATTCCTAAAGACATGTTTCTGCTTTCTTTCATAAAGCTGGGTCCCTTGGGCTGTCCATGGCGTGTAAGGCAAACTCAGTTCACGTGTGTGTGTCCCGTTAGTGCTAGGATTTACAGAGACAAGGAATCCCTCGGTGAACACGTAGATAGAACAAACAAAGGCAACATGGAACAAAGAATGGGATAAGATAAAGAATGACAGAGAATAAAGAATAACAAAGAAAAAAGAATAACAGAGAATAAACAATACGATCCGACAAATAACACCATAGAATAAAGAATAAGATAGGACAATGAATAACATAGAATAAAGAATAAGATAGGACTAGGAAAAATATAAACTAAAGAATAAGATAGGACAAGAAATAGCATGGAATAAAGAGTAAGATAGGACAAGAAATAACATGGAATAAAGAGTAAGATAGGACAAGGAATAGCATAGAATAAAAATTAAGATAGGACAATGAATAACATAGAGTAAAGAATATGATAGGACAAAGAATAAAATAGAATAAAGAATAAGATAGGAGAAGGAATAACATAGGAGAAGGCATAACATAGAATAAAGAATGAGATAGGATAAAGAATAACGGAGAATTGAGAATAAAAGAGAAATACAAAAACAAACTTGGTTTGGAGGGGGAGCTAACCTGGATAAGTCGAGAGTTGATTGGCGTCTAAGATATTCAGTTAAGACTGTCTTGAGCCTTTGCATGTTGAAGAAGTTTGAGCTGTGATTATTTGTGTCGTCCCTCCACAGCACCGTGGTCATCATTCATTACGGCCTACTTCCTAGTGATGTGCCACGTCCATAACACCTACTACATCAGTGCCAGACGTGGTGTGACGGGTACACCTGGGCTCTGCAGAGGTGACAAGGTCAAGGCTACAGATACTTAAGAGATAAAAAAACAAAATGTGAAACAATTTATTTTAAAAACTTTGTTTTAAATAAACTTTTTTTAGTTCTTACTCCTCGATGCAATGAGTTTATTTTTGTGTTCAATTATAGACGAAGAATACGTGTAAATCTAACATTTAAAAAATTTAGACAAGATATATCAATGATTTCTTACACAATTTTATAAAATAAACATTTAAGCGAATTTCTTTGTATTTACTTACTATTAACGTTAATAATTGCTATGAAAAATATAAACAAAATAGTTTCAAAGTATCATCTGTGGGATGCGTAAATTTGCAAATGAAATTTATAGATGCTAAATTTAGAAATGTATCCATCTATCTAAAATGATATTTGAGTGTTATAAAACAAATTTGTAAGACCTCTAACTAATATGTTTCAAAAGTCTTTTTTGAAAACGCATGTACAATTTTAACTGCTAAGATAGTTTCTTTTCATTAGTTGATATTTTTGACGTTATGTTATTCATTAAAGTGGCAAATAAAACATGGGCACAAATATTTTTTTTTTTAATTCAAACAATAAAAGTGTATTTAAATAAAATAGAGTAAATAACTTTCGTAAAACCTTTAGAAAAAAAGAAATATAATTATTATTAAACTGCATTTAATTGAATATCTATTAACATCCTTAATTGTAATATTTATTTTATAGTAATTGTTTTTTGGAAAGTTCGGTTTGAGATTGAAGCGTAAATTTTTTGGCATCTGCTTAATCAGCAAAAAGTCAATGCGCCAAGTTTTAGCAATATACCTTGACGGAAAAGAGTCGATTATCTTTCATTCGATATCAAACTTTGTCTTACAAAACCAACAATAGTATTTTTAATGTTTTGGTTTTTTTAAATCCAACTTCTCACTTCTGATACCCGGGTGTTAATAGCCTCTTCGAATTTAGAAACATTTATAGTTTCAAAGCAATCGGATGAATTGTATAGGAGCGCATACGTTTCATATTTATATAGCTCATATCATAAAAAACGAATTTAGGGCCCCTGGTTCAAACGGAATATTTTTAAATGGTTGTAATCGTTCAGAAACTTTTGCAGGCGTAAACATAACATTTTTTTAAAGTTTTGTTTCATTCGAATAAATTATATAGGACCGCATACGGAAGTTATTTTTTACAAAGTTCATATAAGAAAAAAAAAGGATTTTAGGGCCAACGGCCTCAAACAGAATATTTGAATATTTTAAAAGGTTTGTAATGACTCAGAAAAATGGGTGGACTAAAGGACAGCAACCCGCCAAAGTTTGGTCGCAATCAAATGAATGGTGTAAAAGCGCATTTGGGACAAAAATACATACATAGATAAATAACTAACTACCCACCCAACCCACCCCCACCCATTCTTGCATAAATACATACATACATACATTATGAGAGACAGACAGACATACATTAAGAGAGACAGAAAGACAGACAGACAGACATACAGACATAAATACATACGTATGGACCTCAATTATAATTCCTTGAAACTATCGTTACAAAATGCTTGCTTGTTCCGACCGACTGAATTTTGGCTTCTGCTTCGGATTCGGTTTAATTTCGGTTTCAGCCGGAAGTGATTTGGGTTTTCGGCCTTCCTCCAGATGTCTTCCTTCTGTCTGTCTCATGGCGACAAATCCGATAATCCTTTTGCTCGATGTCTTTCTGCCATCGTATGTTATATGACTAATATCTGCGAAGACTGTTGACAATAAGGCCTAGACAAATGGAAAGAGTTTTGTGGAAGAAAAACTAGTGGAACGGTAATATTTATATCATTATTTCTTTTAAATTTTCTTTTTCCAAAATTAAATTTGGAACCCGAGGTTAATTAAATTTATTGATTTGTTATATTCATTTTGATCTCGCTTTATCATGGTCATCGATGTTTTTATTGACAAAGATGAATACTATTGCGTAATTCTATGTTTCATGTCAATATGTCCATTATTTTTTTACTTTTTAAAAATAAAATTCATGCAACTTAGTTTTTTCAATTCATTCATTACTTGAAGATCATCATAATCGTGCTCAAAACCATAGTTATTGACGAAATTACACAGGTCTGCATGTATCATGCGTTCGTATTATAATTATGAAGTAGGTCTACTGCAGATCTGTTTACTTTTATGACTTTGGCAACGAATTTAGATAACCTTTGCTATTCTCTGTCGAGACCCGTTCAGAGCAACAATTTTAAGAGACCCTTTTAAAAAATATATATATATCTCTCCCCTACCAATGGGGGTGAGAAACGTTGGTCGCCGAACGAAATAATAACGTCACCAGCATGGAAGAACTAATTTGTTTTGGTGAGAGGCTAAATATTAATACAGCGACATCTTGCCGGCTCTTTATGAAAACATTGGTTCTTAGTATGAAAATAATTGCGAAAAATTGTAATGATATTTTAATTGCCTTTAATAGCTGATATTTAGTTTAAAATTGGCTGTAAAGAACCACCATAATTATTGTATCTTTAGTTCTAGGTAGCGTTGTAATTATATTACAAAAGCAAATGGCACACAATGGTTTGTTTTGAATGAATTCCCCCCCCCCACCCACCCCCACTCCAAACTTTATCTTACCATTATACTTTAAAAATACATTTTTAACAAATGTAAATTAATTTTTTTTTTAAATTGGTATAGCCACAGTATTCATCATATGTTTATTTATTAATATTCACGATGATCTCATTAACAAAAAAAAAAAAAAAAAAGAATGTTAATATTGATACTTTCGCCATCATTATTTATTTTTTTTTTAAATTGGTATAGCCCAAGTATTCATCATATGTTTATTTATTAATATTCACGATGATCTCATTAACAAAAAAAAAAAAAAAGAATGTTAATATTGATACTTTCGCCATCATTTTTCGATTTGTGCAGAATGTAGGCGTGAAACGATTTCAAACTCTCTAAATGTAGCGTTTGGGCTTCGGTTTCGGTTGAAAGTCCTTTTTAACGTTCAGCCTCGTGTCGGTTTCGGCCGAACTCAGAAATTCACCTTTGATCGGTCTCTACTCTGCAATATACATTTTGCACCCGCCAATTATGCCATTAATATAACATTAGTTAAAAATTTGGATGTAAATTTGGGTTTTGTTCATATCAGCATATTTTTAATAGTGTTAAGCGATGACCTTGATTATTTGTTTGAACAATCTTTAACATATACACATTACCAGCTGTTACATTTACACATTACAATTTTAACATATACACATTACCAGCTGTTACATTTACACATTACAACTTTTAACATATACACATTACCAGCTGTTACATTTACACATTACAATTTTAACATATACACATTACAATTTTAACATATACACA